TTTTGAAATATCCTGGCAATATTTGTTCTTCCCGAAACAGATTCTCTAAGTTGATAGCGACCAAATCAATTTCCCTCTGACAGAATAATGAGTGATGGTTAACAGGTAGAATCTAAAATAAGACCCACTTAGCAGGAGCCATGAGATAGTAGGGAGCACAAATAAGTAGAAAACACAAGGTAAAAAGCACCTGTTACTTGCTCTCATAGAAAATTATACTTTATTTTATTAGCTTTTTCTTAATTGTGGAATTGTATTTAGATACTTTTCTTCCCCACTGGACTCTGAGCTTCATGATAGTAGGGATAGTGTCTGTCTTGCTTTCATAAATCCCTAGTATCTAGCATAGGAATGAGTACACAGATATTTAGCAAATGAGTGAATGATTGAATATCAATAGAAGGCAGTTGTATCAAGATCATAGAAAAGTATTCTTTTTTTTTTAAGATTTTATTTATTTATTTGAGAGAGAGAGAGAATGAGAGACAGAGAGCATGAGAGGGAGGAGCGTCAGAGGGAGAAGCAGACTCCCTGCCGAGCAGGGAGCCCGATGCGGAACTCGATCCCGGGACTCCAGGATCATGACCTGAGCCGAAGGCAGTCGCTCAACCAACTGAGCCACCCAGGCGCCCATAGAAAAGTATTCTTGAAATAATGGAGACAGTTTAAGGAATAACAACTGGCAGTAGCAGAGGAGTTACCCACAAAGTAACTTCTTTGAGTCTTGCATGATATCTTGAATGCTTCTTCTAGTTCCAGACATATATTTCAGCCACCATGAAACCTAGCTGATTCCCTGTAAGGCATGGTAGTGGAGGTGATTCATGACATGGTCACTTCCCCAAGTATACTTGCAATTTATTGGAGAGGAATTTAGCCTTTGGTCTTTGTTCCTTGCAATCAAGAAGAGACTGGAATGCTCAACCTTGTATTCTGGTTTCAAGTACCTCAATCGCTAGACATGAGGATATTTTGTGCTTATGCTATTACTCAACTAACTTCAGTAGGCACACATTTTACAGTAATAGTAACAAAGGGATGGTAAAGGGAAAAATGATGCACATTTTTGGACTTCTCTTACTTAGCTCTGTGCCTCCATATATATATGTGTATATACATATACATACACATATATATGTGTGTGTATATGTATGTATATATATATGTGTATATATGTATATATATACATATATAATGACCATAGGACAATATATATGTGTTTCTTTTTTGCATAAAGAAACTACCCCTGATTAAAGACCACCTACTTGGGGCACCATAAACTATTTCTAAGAAAAATGTATCAATAGATTTCATATCTGTGTGGCTTATGAATTTCTGCCACTGAAGCGTTAACAACTCTGTTGGGTTCAGGCCTAATTTCTAGCCCCAGGGATATAGATATCTAGTATTAGAGAGCCCTGGGAACATGATAAAATACAGTCTTACCCTAAGGGAAATTCTATTATGGTTGCAGAATATTCATGATACACAGGGATCTTTTTATCATATACTTTCCTTTGTTATAATTTTGCTTAATGGCTTAATTTTGATCAATTGCAAGGGCTTGATCACTTAAAGTTATTGTGACAGATGACAACTCATGTTTATATTTTTGTTTTGGAAACTGATGAAATGATTCAGAAGACTGTGCATTTGTATCTGGTATAATACCTGATAGATTAAAGGCAATCCCCAGCTGTTGTTCTGTCCCTGGTGATTAAGGAAAATGATGAGGATAAATATTAGTAATAATACGTATTATCTCATGTGAGAGACAAGTTTAGTGAAATTTAATACATGCTTTTGTGCATTATAAGGAAATGAATGCAATTTACAAATCCGTATAAATAACACATTGGAAATTCCACTAAACTGTAATATGCCTTAAGTCAGCCATGATTGAAATTGCATTTGACGGGGAGAAAAACAGTATTCCTCCCTCCAACAACTCCGTGTGTTGACATCATGGCATGGTTGGGTAGTAGTGAGTGCCAGCTGAGGACACTTCCCTCCTCTGTGTCACCATCTGGCTTCAGTTCCACTTCTATCAGTTCCTATTGGCTTTTTCATTTATGCTGGAACTCACAAGCAGAAATTAAGGAAGTTTGCCAATACATTTGAGATAACCCTCTCTCTCCTCATTTTTGTCCCTTTGACACTTGTATAGAGAAATTTTGTACTCCGAAGCCTGGGCCCAGTTAATTTAAGCTTCACCAGCACAAAGATATGCCACCACTCCTGCAAAATCCCACGTGCTCTTTTGCCAAACCGTGATGTCAATGTTTTCTCCCCTGTGGTTCTACAGTGTGATCAGGATTTTCGTTTGTACTGTGTCAAATGTTAACTGTCCTCTGCAAGTAGATGATATTGTTTGCCTTGTTTAATGTTAGTTAGCTATGAAAACCTTTTTTTTTTTTCCAACCTTGAGTTTATGGTACTTTGTTTTAAAAATTTGATACCATTCTATATTTACTTTTGGGATTCCAACTGTAAAACACTTTGTATTGACGGTGACATGAAAGATGAGCTGAGTAAATTCCTATGAAAACCATATAATTTCAGGTTTCTACTCACTCAGCAAAATCTGGAATGATACAAAGCTGGGCTCCAAAACAATTTAGCATAGAGTCCAAGCCCTCAGAAGGGGCTAGAGTAGAAAGTCACTCACCGATCTGTAATCACAGCATGGTGCCAATCAGCTATTCATAAATGTGCCATGGGAGGAGATACTGATAATATCACTCTACTTAATGGTCAGTTGGTTTTTCCAATAGAAACCAATTTTCAGCATTTAATATACAAACATTTCACCTTGTAGAAGATCTAAAATTATGCACGCAGCATTGAAACCTACAAATAAGATTTGGAAGAAAATGAGTTATTTTTGGTATCTTAGGAAGCTCTGCTATTTAACAAAATCCATACGTACAGAGTCCTTTTAATTACTCAACAAATATTTATTGATCATTTTTCATGTGCCAGGAACTTACAAATCATACTATGAGGGAGCCACTGTCTGGCTGTGAAGGTGAAGTGAGTGAGTGTGTGTATGCATGTGTACGTGTGTGTGTGTGTAACATGGAATATTAGAGATGGTTTGGACCATAAATGTTATCGAAACTAGATTTCCCCAATTTTCTAAATTAAAATATTAAGGCCCAAAAAATGATGTGTGACTTTGCTTGGATGTGATCAAATTGGAGATGGCTCCTGGTCCAACAATCTGTCTACCACACCCTGCGGTCTATACCGAACGATTATCCAGGGATTCACATCTATGAATACGGAGAGAACTTCAGGAAACTTAGGCCGTTCGTCTGTGGAAATTAACAGCAGAGGCTGTCTAATTATCATTTTACAAACAATCATTTTATATAATGAGTACAGGACAATAAGGAGGGAAGAGTCTTTGTTGATAGCAGCCAAAGTCACCAATCAGCAGGCAAACCATCAAAGAAAAGTGGTAGATGAGAACAAAACCACATCTGTTACAATTTCACTCAATGTCTTTAGACTTGCCTCAGAACAAACAAATTAACTGATAGACATGATAAATTTGTGATTGCAAGTGCAAGTATATGCTCATTGAAATGCATATTTCCTAGAGTATGTGGTCATTTTCAAGTGCTCTGTTTTGAAAACCCTATTAACATGAATTTCATGGAATTTACAATTGTTCATGTTGCATCATGCCTGGGGGGGAAATGTGCTTTCTACATATTGAAGCATATCTGATGATCAAAAAATGACTCACTAAAAAACCCTCTAACTTGCACATTTCCAAAGCCTTGAAAAAGAAATGAGACAATTCGTCTGTTTTTCACCTTAATTCAATGAGGTATTTGATTTTCAACTACTGTCTCAGCACTGTCTTAAAACCTTGTTACTAGGGAATAAAAGAAAATTACCTGCAATCCCCTTTCCTCAGAAAGCCTGTTATTATAATGGATTTCTCGCTTTAGTCAGTCTTAGCTGCCGTCTGGAGAGAACTTCAGAGCACCAGCGCTGCTAAACTGCCTCCCCAGCAGGCGATGCTCACCTTCTCCAGCTGAAGCAACAGCATTGCTCTTACCACGTGGCCCAAAGAAGAGACAGAAAGCTTGTGGATTAAAGTGACCTGTCATAGATTTCATGATTTGGGACAGGTGAAGAGGAAGCTGTTACTGAGACAAAACTTTGGATGGCTCTTCTAAAATAGAGCCGTATCTTCCAAAAGATACTTCTATATCTGAAACTGTTTTTCTATTACAGAATATATCACAGGGACATAGAAAATACAACAGTTTTGTGAATAATGAAAGGTGTCTTACCACACCCAAAATAACTGTCTTCTTTTCGTTTACTCCTTCTTATGTAATAACATGGGACCACATTGTAACAGTTTCTTCCTTTAGGCTCCTCCAGGGACATCCATCTCCACTTTATGCATTATCTGTGCTCTTCCTGATCCTAATAAGACCTTAGAAAATAATTCTCATTACCACTGTCAACAATTATTTATTGAATGTTGTATAAAAGAGAACAGACACTCATGTAATACTCAACATGCGACTGATACTGTGTGGGGCATTTTAAGTTATTGGACAGAAACCCTGAAAAATAGACATTATTAAAGAGGAGAAATCAAGGATTTAAAAGAGAACGTTCCCCATTTTCCCCTGGGGTAGTGAAAGCAGGTTATTAGTATAACAGTTGATCAGAAGCGTTGAGGAGGATTAGGTCATAAAGGGCACGAAGAAGTAGAACTTCCAGTCTGGTAAGAGCTTACAACATATTGGTATAAATATGATCTACACAAATATCACAATGCACAAATGTATGTAATACATAATCAACACTGGAAGATGAGATCATGTATGAATGATAGTTAAGTAGGAGAACTATTTACATAAAGAAAATAACAGCTAACATTTACTGAGAGCCCACCACTTTTCATCTTCCTGATGTTACTCGTAGAGCTTCACATATAGGAGGCCAAAAACAAAACAAAACAAAACAAATAAACAAAAACGTTATGAGGCATCTCTCTTTATCCCAATTTTATGAGGATTTTAAGGCACCAGTAGGTTATGTACATTGCCCAATAACATAGCTACTGTGTGGTCATTGTACAGAGCATACCCACGTACTTTACAGAGTATATCATCATTTGAATCCACTCTTCCACTTTCTGCAAGTTGAGATGTATCATCATTAAACTCCAGTACATTCTCAAGTTTCCCCCTAAATGTTCTGTTTGCTTTTTTTTTTTTTTTTAAATCAGTATTTGGCCAGAGGACAACGCTTTCCACACAGGTCACTTTGGGTGTGTTCTTTCTGTTGTTGTTTGTTTAAATCCCACGAAGCATTAATTCAGGTCTTGCAAGTGAGGTAGGTGTCCTCATTTCTCTCAATGGCTTCTTTAGCTTATTGTTTGACCTGTGTAATTGGAAAGATGGAGATTCAAATAACGAAAATGGGCTATCTTTTGAGTGAACACATTGCATGAAAAAATCAAGAATATATTTTCTTGGGGTTAATTAGACACCCAAGCTGAGTAGACAGTGAATATACAGATGTCAATGTCAGCGTGAGTGAAAGACTGTGGAGTGTGCTTGGGTATTCCTGAAGTTGTCTATCTCTACTTTCTCTTACTATTCACACCTTTGTATTCACTCTTCATGTCTCCAAAATCTGCCTCCTTTACTCAGTATCTTGTGAAATTTCTCTCTCCAGTTTCAACAGTAACTTTCTAACAACTTTCTCAATGTACTGCATTTGGTCTTCATTTTACTCACTTTTCTGCCGAATTACAGGCTTTTTTCATCATCTTTCTCTCTTCCTTTGGATCTGATAGGAAATATCCATCTGGTGTTCCTCTTAGGACTCACAATCACTTTCTTCGGATGCTGTTTTTTCCTGCTAAAATGTGAAGTGTTGTTCAAGGAATTATTTTTTCCTTGTCTTCTTGTTCTCATGGATGTAATCTTTAATAATTTCAGGAATAAGGCAGCAAACAAAAATGAGTGAAATCACTTCGTATAGAAAAACAATGTAGGGAGGACTACGGTGACCTGACTGGAATTTCTAAAAGAAATCCCAATGCAAAGTTTTTACACACTATGCCAATAAAACAAAATTTGTTCTTGCATCACCAGGGCTGTGATAGATCACTGTGAGTCAGCATTCTTCCCTAGCTCTCTGTCCCTAACCGAAATTAAGCAATTATCTTTAATAGGTAATTTGAAGATATTTATATATCACTAGCTAAGATCTTTCTCACATTATAGAGGAGCCAATGAACTACAAACAGGGAGAAACTATGAATAATATTCTCTTTTATCCTAAAGACACTGTACTTTCAGAGCCATTTCCAACTATCAAATTAAATCTATACCATTGATATCCTAGAAGCACTAAAACTCTACGTATTAAAATCTTGAATACATTATCTTTCCTGGATAAGTAGTTTTTCTTCTAATGTGTCCTACCTCAGTAGTGATTTGCACAGGATAAGAACTCCCCGGTCAACTTTAAATCCTGCTGTTCCTTTACTAATAAGTCACCTGTCCTTTGAACCACAGTGAGGCCTTCCTCAAGAACTTAAAAATTGGCTAAATGAGATTGGCTTCTGAGACACATGTTGGATCAAATCAGAGATAGGCACAGTTATCCTAAAGAAACAGAACAGCTCCCAAATCTGGAAGACTTACTAGTAAACTCCCATCATTTTTGTGCCATTTGGATGGCATCCAATGAAAGCTAGAAAAAAGGAATCACCAAGACAAATATTGTCAATGCCTTCTTAGGGCTGCCCAAAAGGTATTTAGTAATTTAGTTCCTTTGGCAATATTATCTTACTGTGAGAATAGTGTATTAATCAATTTTTTAAAAAATTTTATTGTTATGTTAATCACCATACATTACATCATTAGTTTTTGATGTAGTGTTCCATGATTCATTGTTTGTGTATAACACCTAGTGCTCCATGCAGAACGTGCCCTCTTTAATACCCATCACCAGGCTAACCCATCCTCCCACCCCCTCCCCTCTAGAACCCAGAGTCCATCGTCTCTCATGGTTTGTCTCCCCCTCCGATTCCCTCCCTTCATTCTTCCCCTCCTGCTATCTTCTTCTTTTTTTTTTTTTAAACACATATTGTATTATTTGTTTCAGAGGTACAGATTTGTGATTCAACAGTCTTGTACAATTCACAGTGCTCACCATAGCACATACCCTCCCCAATGTCTATCACCCAGCCACACCATCCCTCCCACCCCCCACCACTCCAGCAACCCTCAGTTTGTTTCCTGAGATTAAGAATTCCTCATATCATTGAGGTCATATGATACATGTCTTTCTCTGATTGACTTATTTCGCTCAGCATAACACCCCCCAGTTCCATCCACGTCATTGCAAATGGCAAGATCTCATTCCTTTTGATGGCTACATAATATTCTATTTAATGGCTGATGTCAATAAGAATTCTATTGCTAGAGTTCTTTTTTTTTTGAGTCCATATTCATGAGATAATATTCTGATTGTTATTTAGCTTGATTTGCTACTGAGAGAAAATTCTTGGGGAAATAAATTTCCAGTCCAATTCCAATAATGATTATTTCTCCACAAGGGATAAAATGAGAGAGTAGGAGAGAGGGAAAGAGGGAAGTGAGGGAGGGAAGGAGAGAAGGAGGGAGGGAGGGAGGAAAGATGGAAGGAAGGGACTCTTAATTTGGCTTATTTTTGTATTTTGCCAGAGAAGTCCCATGAAAAAAAAATGTGCAGATCATTGATTGAGTAATCTGCTTCCTGTAATAGAATTCCCAAGGAAAATTATTAAATCATCCTCCCACATTAATGCCGTGGTCTTGTGAATTTGATAATGTGAGGTTCCTGAACTTTAAAGTCATAAGGCTAGACCTGAGTTAATACCAAATGAATGTATCCTATGGAAACTCCTCAGAGATTGGCAAACACACATCCCTTTGATTGCTAAGATTTTTAAGCTTGTCTACTTTCCCAGTATCTACAGATTCTACCTCTCATCTACACCTCTATACCCTTTCCATTCCACTGTCACTGCCACAGTTCTTTCTTTTTTTTAAATTAACATATAATATATTATTTGTTTCAGGGGTACAGGTCTGTGATTCACTGCCACACTTCTAACCCTGGCAACACTAAACCCCCTAAGTAATCCTTCTGCCTCTCAGTATCTTTAATTTTTCTTTTGCTGCCACACAGAGCTTTCAAAATATAGATAATATCATCACTTGCATCTTTCCAGATCAAGAGCTTTTCAAAGAACCCTGACCCAGGGTAAATGAGTGGAGTAAGTATTCAATAGTAGTGATCCGTCCTGGCAGCAAGACCCCCGTCCCCTCCTAAAAAAAGCCCAAATCATACTCACTGCGCAGAATCCAATTAGGTTACCTCTTGTCCCCAAGGCAGAGAACCATACTTTAGGTATATCTCGATTTAGGACGAATGAGTTTCTTTTTTCCTTTTCAGCCAGAAAAACATGAGTTCAGGTTGAGATGAACTTGAAATACTCAGTTTGTCATCAGTAATGTTCATTTCCTTAAGAACAGCTTTCAAGGGTATTTATTTCAAGTTACAGCACCTTGATCAAGTCTACAACATTAAAGGCATATATTTGTTCCATATGGTGAGGAAGGGATTATGCATCTTGGGTTCTAATAATTATGTAAAGGTACTAATTTAAATCTGATATAAACTACCAAGTGAGTTTATGACATATTCTGCAAGATAAATTCCTTTTTATAGCCTTCTGCATAGAAAGATGGGCATTTTGCCATGCAGTAAGTTCTGGCAGGGCATATGTAATATCACCATGAAAGGGACCAGCAAAAGAACATAAGATGGTGCATTCTAACAAAGCTGGAGTTTGCCAACTTTGACACGCTGAGGTTTTTTCAGAACTGAGTTGAAAGACTAAGTTTATGAGCACTCTGTTAGAATCATAAACCTTATCATTATTAATAGATGTGCAAAATGTGACCTCAAAAAAATTTATTATTCACTGTACAAAATTTGCCTTGTAAAGTATGTCATTTTATTCAATGTTGTTTACTCTTTCCTATGTGCATCCTCAAACGGCAAAATTGAATGATGACTATATTCTCTACTGTCAGAATATGCAAAGTAAACAAAAATACTATGATTGTAGAAGCTTGGCCAAGAGGGCATTTGGGGGTGCAGCTGTAGATTAAGCAAACAGATACCATTGATCATTTTGTTTCCCTAAAGATTAGAACAGATTCATGCAAATTAAACTTTGTAAGAATTAATGATACGGTCATAGCTAAAATTTTATCTCCTACCGAACTGAGGGCCGAAGAAACCCCAAATTGGGCTTTGATTGCCTTCATGTCAAAGACAGATCTTTCTTTGAGTCAGCCCAGTATATAGCATAAAACAGCTGTTCTGGCTATCGGAGTACAATTCTGAACGAGTGTGATGAAGGGGCTGAGAAACTGCCGTGATGTATGATAGTGCCTGCATCGAAAGCAAATTTGTCTGCAACCTCCAGGGCTCACTGAATATTAAGATAAGGCAACGGGGGGGGGGGGGGCGCCTGGGTGGCTCAGTCGTTAAGCATCTGCCTTCGGCTCAGGTCATGATCCCAGGGTCCTGGGATCGAGCCCCGCATCGGGCTCCCTGCTCTGCGGGAGGCCTGCTTCTCCCTCTCCCACTCCCCCTGCTTGTGTTCCCTCTCTCGCTGTGTCTCTCTCTGTCAAATAAATAAAAATATTAAAAAAAAAAAAAAAGATAAGGCAACGGGGACTGGTACTTCTTCCTTTCAGTTTCAGAGTTAGGACATGTGGAAATGATTGTAGGCCTAGACTGTCACATTCCTCCTAAAAATTGTTGGCAAGTCCTCAGAAACTGAGGCCATTATTATTATCATTCTCCCGAACATCATTTGTGGAAAAATAAGGTCTAATAGAAAAGAAAGAGAATTCTGGCACCTTTGTGAGTCCAAAAAAGTTTTATTGAAAATACAACTTTGGAAAAATGATATGAGAGAAAAAAAATCAATAGAATTTGATGACTACCTTTTAGACCTTAGAAAGGAGATTGATCTCAAAGTTAATGTCTGACTTATTAGGCTATGCTGTGGACCAGGAAAACCTAAAAATATGGGTTGAATTCAAAGGAATCAATTCAGTTCTCTTCCTCATGACAGGAAATGGTGCAATTTAAATTTACAGTATTAAAAAAAAAGATACAAGCTCTGACTTTTAAATACCAGCATAAAGATGAACAAAAGTCCTATTCACTATAACCCAGAATCTATTCTCTAGTGCTTTGGAGTCCTACATAAGAAGGGAAATCTCTCTATGAAAATGAAATTAAAATTATAGATGCCAAGAAAGGTCTAGAAATTCTAGTGTACATTTTTAAGGCGTACCTGATGGGCAATGTTGAGAAGAAAGTTTATTTAGAAAAACACTTCTGATAAACTACAAACAAAGAAAATGAGTTTTACTTTGGCCTCTATACAAAGGAACATTTAGGCATAAATATAACTGCCCTGTGTAAATGTAATGAAAATAAACATGGTATTCAAGTCCCAACAATTTTACAGAGAGGTCATTTAACCTTACTGAGCACCAGTTCTTTTATCTGTAAAATTAAGATAATGACATATCAAATGGTTATGTGTAACAATAAAATAATGTCTGTAGCAGACACGACACAATGTTTGTGCAATATTTGCACTATTAAAATGCATTTCAAATATTAAATATTTAGAAAAAGAGAAAAAAATTAGATACTCTGATAGTCTGAGATCTGGGTTCATTTTGAAACATTCTGAGGAGAGAATTTATGTTTAATTGACAATTCATCATTCTATTCCCAGTGCCTGAAACAGTGTTAAAAGGGTGAATAAGAAGTTATTAATTTTGTTTTTTAAAGTGGTGAGTCTAAGTTGTGGATTTTGATCTGATTTGATTGTTTTAAAATCAATTTTAAAGGATTGCCTTTGTTTTTCCTGTCTATATCAGAGGATATTTCCTGCCTAAATCCTAGATGGAATTCATAAATCACTTG